ACCAGGACAGTGGACCAGACTACAGTGGCCTCACACAGACGTCAGTGGTGATGCGTTGTTATTAATTTTATTTCTCATCATTCTCGGTTGTAGGAAGTGTTGTAAAACACAACACATTTATGATCGGATTGTACCTACCGAACTCGACGAGTACATTTGGCATCTGCAGGGCAAAGCTCCGTAGGAGCAGCTCCTGACTTCTGGTCATAGATTTAGAGTCCACGAAGTTACATAGTACAAGCATGACGATCGAACCTATTTCCTTTTCTTTTTGTTTTCACAGTTCTGGAACCAGGGACGCTCTTTCAAGATTTTGGAAGGGCTTAAATTGGGCATTTCAATTTTGCGGTCTACAATTTAAACCATGACCAATGTCGATGATGTCTAAGGTCGTGGTGAATGGGCAAGAAAAATATTTATCGACATCCATACTAATATTATAAATGCGAAAGTATGTCTGTCTGTCTGTCTGTTTGTTACCTTTTCACGATTAAACCGCTGAACCGATTCATCGTCCGTGTCCCGGAAAAGGACATAGGGTAGTTTTTATCCCAGAAAACATCCTTTAAGTTTGTGTGGGGAATCAATTTGACGACCGAATGGCATAGTGGTTTGTGTAACGAACTGCTATTCCAAAGGTCGCGGGTTCGATTCCCGCTCAAGTCAAACATTTGTGTGCATGAACATTTAATGTTTGATTTGGTCTGGGTGTCTCTATGTATGATATGTATGTATTTACAAAAAAAAAGTATATATGTATTTATATCAGTTGTCTAGTAGCCATAGTACAAGCTCTGCTTAGTTTGGGACTAGATGGCGTTGTGTAAATGTGGTAAAATATATTATATTACATATTATTATATTATAATAACCGCTGAACCGATTTAAATGCAATTTAGTATAAAGATACTTTGATTCTTGTGGAATTACATGGTTTACTTTTTACCGTGATAACCGATATTGCAAAAATGCAAATTATAATTCATTTTTGGTTCGGGTTACATGTTGTAGTAGAATCAAACTTTTTTTTAATATTAGTTGTTTAACATTAGCTCCTTGATAAATTGACAACAACTGCCTACTATCTATTGCGATGGATCCAGTATTCCATATGACCTGTAAAAAACTTGGGGATCTGTATGGACAAGTTCTTGTCCTGGACTACTCAAATTGGGGAGGTTAGTCGAAAATTATTATTATTTGCTGCAGCGGGGTCATTACGAAGACTTCGTAACTGCCTTCCCACCGATACCAAAATCGCCCTTGCACAACCTCTTCTCCTCCCTATACTTGACTATGGTGATGTTAGCTATCTAGATCTCACCGAAGACCAATTGAACAAACTTGAACGTCTCCAAAATGTCTGCATAAGATTCATATTCGGTTTACACAAATATGATCACTTCTCTGAATATCGTATTAAGCTCAAATGGTTACCTATACGCCTTCGCCGGAAAATTCATATTCTCCATATTTTATACAGTATTCCTTTCTTACCACATTCACCGTCCTATCTTAAAGAATGTTTTGAGTTCTTACACAATTCAGATTGCAGGCTCCTGAGATCATCAGAGATTCTGAAGTTGAAAATTCCCAAGCATACCACACAATTTAGTGACAAATCGTTCTTGATGCAGGCAGTTAGACTGTGGAACACTTTACCCGGGGCAATACGAAAAGCTAAATCGTTGCAATTATTAAAAAAACAAGTCACAAATTACTACTTGATATTGTAAGGGCTATTGAAGGGAAATTGATTGTTTGTTAATACTTGGTACGTCACAGTTTAAAAATTATTTGTGTATTAACCATTATAACCTTTGCATGTATTTATTATTTATATGGATTTATATTTGCTAGTAGTATGTATATTGTTAGAGTATTTAGTATATTTACTTTTATATATATTAATTAACTAAAGTGTTATAAAGTACACCCTAAATCAGATTAAACAATATCCGTGTAAAGGTTGTCTGTAAGAGATCGCCGTGAGGGATAAGACCAGCTATTGTAATTGTAATGTCCATCCATGCCTATACAATATATACTGTAGAGGTGTACAATAAAGATGTATAAATGAAAAAACAAACATTAAATCCAAATCCTCAGTAGAACAATCTTATAGATTGCTTACGCAATTAGGGTAATTCATCAAATAATAACTTCTATTTCACATAAAGTAAATAAAAATAGAGATTCCTTGAAAATATTTTATCAAATGCCGTTCATACAGTTTATCTTTCAATGTTCAATCATCAATTTTATAAGAGCAGCTTGTTGAAAACCGTGTAACATATTTCTTACGTTTGTGTGAACTGAAAACAAATGATTGTATTTTTAAATCGATTCGACTGTAAACTGTTTTATGAGCGCAGCGAGAAATGACCGCGTCGGCATTCAATACTGAAGGAGGCGTTCGAATATCTTTATTTTATAATAGTCAGTTCTGTTTCGTGTTACGACACCGCTACTGGTTACAATTATTCATTTGTTTCAGGCTAATTTCTCTAGCTCAGCAATCAATATCCAAAAATTTGCAAATGTGGGAGTAACCTGTTAGTCAAATTAATTTCTCTGTATTAAACTTTTATGAAACGACAAGATAAGTGACAACCTAACAGAGTCAAGCACATTGGGATGGAATAAAATCACGATCACCTGTGATAAATCATATGACTTACAGATCGTATATTCACGGCTATGACTAGTATATAAAATCACTGCAACTTAATATTATATTATAATGCAATTAAAATATTTACAACATTTACACTATGCAATATTTATATTATCAAAAAATTCCTCCGCATCATCGCCTACTGGTAGCGTTCCCAGAAGACTGGCTTGACTAATTATTATTATTATTAAAAATCAATCAATTCATTATAATATATGACTGTGACGTAAAAGTAGCAATAATTTAGAACTCAACATTAGTGTGATAGGTACACTGGTAATAATGTGGAGGATTTTTTAAAGACCATGTGAATCCTAAAAGCCCTCGTCTTTAATGTGCTAGTTATGTTGATGAGACTTGTAGACAAAGGCTTAATCATCATCATCATCATCAACAGCCTTTAATAGTCCACTGCCGGACATAGGCTGCTCCTTGGAAAGGAGGTTTTGGCGTACTATACCACGACTGGCCAGACGGGTTGGTATAGGGTATGTGTCAAGTTTTTCAAGGGAAGGCTTAACTAATTAAAAAGGTAAAGCAATCGTGTAGTTATTTTGCATCTCATTGATTATTGACAGAACAAATGAGAAATCTTGTACGTAAATACATCAGTGTCTTTGTGGTCGCTGAATTATAGCTTCTATTACAAACAATAATTAATTCGGTACTACTTAAAGAAAGATATATTAGTCGAAATGTTTAAATACTTGGTAAAGTAAACAGTTAGTAGCAGATCGACAGACATTTGACACTTGAAAAGTGAAGGAACTGACAATAACAAATAGTCAAGTTTTACAAAATGTTTGTTTGTTGAGTTGTACCGAAATGTTCAATGTTGTAAATTAAGGGTTTAATAGTTCATCACTACTCTCTGGTTTCATACAAGTAACAATTGCATCTTGCTTAGTTTTATTAAACAGATTTTGTACTGCCCTACTTTACTAATTGCCTCAAAAATGTACACAACTGCACTCTTAAAGTAATAGAGGTAACTGAGGCCGCGCGACCCCTTTAGATGTAGAAAAGAGACAATGTGGTACCCACGCACAAGGGAGCCATCTGTAAGCCTAGTCCGTATTAAGGATTTCTTTTCTCGTTCTCCGACTACTAGTACCCGGGACGGCGTGCAGCTTTAAATTGGTTCGAGTCCGACATAAACACCCCACCAGTTGTCCGGTGGGGGGGTATCCGAAGGGCTCTTCGCACGAAAAAATAAAAAAACCTAATATAGTAGTTATATTTTTTTTAATCAACTGTAATAAAAAAGCTTTTTGTCACTAGATATGTAGTAGTATACGTAGATAGTAGTGTTGATGCCTATATTTATCGTGCAACAAACACTCCATTGTCACAAACGAACATGTACTTATTACTTACTACCATCTTTTCTTTTCTTTCTTTTTAAAAAGACAACTCCCGCACTAGGAATATATCCTGTGTCGCGGGGGACTTAACAAACATACATGAAACGGACACAAAGAACACCCAGACTCAGAACAACAATTTGTGGATCACACAAAGTGTCGTCCCATGTGGGGTTTGAACCCACAACACTCGGCGCAGTAGGAAGCGGCGTGGCGACCACTTAAACGATCATTTACACTTGATAAGTTTTTAATATTTACCATGTTTATGAACAAAAGAAAAGGTGGCATTTCAATTTCTGCTGCATGCATGGCATTCTGTAAGTAAGCAAAGAATAAATGAGTGGTCTCGATTTAGTGCTGGAAGTATGGATGGGTTTCAGATCAATATTCCAAGGCATTAAAAGATATATTTAAAAAATATCTTGATGTTGATTGTTTTATTTGAAATTTAGAACTTGCATCAGACACAGGTTCTTCTCATTTTCAGGTTCACCTCCATTATAAAAGGGCTAACCTATTTTTGTAAAAACTATCATTTAAAAATAAGAAGTAACTTTTTGCTGTTCTAATATGTAAAAAAAAACAAATACCAGTACACATGGTATACTGATGTTCTAAAAACAAAGTCCCTTTTCTCAGTAGATATTTGGAACACCTGTTATTGTATTAGAAACTAAGTCATCTCATTCAGTGTAAACAAGCTGTTAGTGGCCAACAGCTTGTTTACACTAAATTCCACAGCTGATTGTCTTCCACTGGATAACAATATTACCAATAGCCAATAGAATCCAAGACTATTGCCATCCTTATTTTAGACCTGCTCCCCAACGTACTACACCTCTGCAGGTATTTGAAATAATGCCGTTTACTCTTGTAAGTGCGTTTAGTTAGGTATACATATAAAATAAATATAACATAATGTATTGATATGCATCAGCCTAAGTTGTGAGACTCACATAGTCGGCATGGAGTCGCGAGGCGGGCGGGCGCACAGGTCGCGGCGCGGGCGAGGTGCGGCGGCGCGCCCCCCCGCCCGTAAATATCATCGGCGCGTGCGCATGCCGCGGGCCCGCGCGTGCCGCAGCCCTGCGCCCGCGCTCGCCGGCCCCGGGCGCCGCTGACCACTCGCTCGACTTCCTCGAGCGTTCGTGTTGAACAGAAACTCACGTTCACGACTTTCGACCCGCCGCACCCGCACTCACGTATTTATAAACGGAATTCCACACGCGCTATTCGCAGCCGGATACAACTTTTTACACGACTTTCGGCACTTACGTCGTCCGGAGCACTGAAAAGGCGAGTTTTGGGCTCCTGAATTGTCTGGCAGAGTCCGCGTGAGTCGGACGACCGCAGCTTACAGTGTTACAGTTAAGAAGGCATTTAAAAATACAGAGCTTAAAATAATTATTTTACGTGCTTGAAGAGAACTGGCACTCAATAAAATAATACACGGATGTTTATTTATAAGTGTGCCTATTGTTTACTTTTTTAATCTACACAATAAACAAAAGACAAAACTATATGATTACATGATATTTGATTTGGCTTGTGAACATAGAATTTCTCAAATCCCAGTACATTATTCCCAAATATGTTCATGAATTTAGAATGTATACATCTAAGCAAATAATGTGTGTGATATCCCGAATACCATACACAGAATTCTTTAACTCGAAAGTACCACCCTAGTACCCCATTTTAATACGAATAGAAAGTCTTTATTATCGATCTTGGATATGTCGATCTTGGATCTATTAAAAACGAAGCCTTAATTAATAGCCCTTTTTAATCGACTTGTAAAAAAAGGAGATTCTCAAGTCGGCTGTTTGTATGGTCTTTTTATGTTTGGAAAATTCTTTTTCCACTTGAATTTCCCATTTGGTTCCATACAAATTTATAGAAGAAATTCCACTCCTAATGATGACAATATATTGAGATATATTTTGCCATTTTTGTTGACACGATACTAAAAAGGTTGATAATAATATTCCAATAAAAGTTTCGTCGAGTTTGTGCTTAGAGCTGATACTTAGAGAGTTTCACACGAAGGTGGTGCCAGCGCTACTGCGGGCAGACGTTAGGAGGGTTCAGATGTCTTAATAACAGCTGTTTTTAGGATTCCTCCTATTCCGACACACCGCTCCGCCGTAAAACCTTGAAAGATGGTTACTACACATAAAAAACATCTCATACTTAAGTTTTTTTTTTGACTGGCCTGTTGATCTAGTGGTTAGTGACCCTGACTGTTACGCCAGAGGTCCTGGGTTCGATTCCCACCCAGGACAAATATTGTGTGATGACCTCGCTCATTTGTTCTGTGTCTGGGTGTAATTTATCTATACTCGTAATATGTATGCATTTAAAAAGTATATAAGTATGTTTATCAGCAGTCTGGTTACCATAGTACAGGGTCTGCCTAGTTTTCGATCAGACGGCCGTGTGTAAAATGTGTGAAAAATATTATATTATTATTATTATATTATTATCTTAGCGATCTATGGAGAAGTAACAGCGTTTGTTGATATTATGTGCCTGAGAATTTCTACATAGAACAATAGTATTATAATAAGCTGCACAGTATGTTGAAACAAGTTCGCATATCGTTCCACACGTCTAACTTCGTCATTGGCTATAAAACAGCAGTAAATAGACGTAGTGAATCAAACGGTGGTCAATTTTACGAGCAACCTCTGAGCCTCTGACAGCTTTGTGTTCCGTATAACGAATTTGAAAGCAAACTCACGCAACGTATTCTTTCTGACTATAATACACTTTCTAAGGAGAGGCCTATGTCCAGCAGTGGAATATTAAAGGCTGTTGATGTGATGTGATAATACACGAGCCGAAGAGCTAGTGTGACTATAATACACTAGCCCTTCCCCGCACTTTCATCTCACCACCACACTTCTGACACTTTTTAATTATATTATATTAGCATAAATAGCATGGATTAAACGGTACATATTTCAAAGAAAATTTGGCAACTTTGCTTTTAAAGTTTATTAAAATAGACCATACTCTTGCCTGTAAATACTCAATACTTGTCTGTACGATTTCTTATAATAATTTATCTTTTTATCTCTCTTTGTTTTTAACAACATGTTCTAAGTTTACTTAAGTACTAAATACCTAGATGATATATACGATAGAGAATGCAGAGCGAAGCTACATTTCAGATAAGGGATCGAGCTGGTCGGAGATCTTTTGGCTATCGACGATTCGAGTCGCTCTTCTTTGGATACGGTCCAGAGGGAGAAGCTGGTCTTCTAACGGTGATTCAAGACACTGTGCGTGAAAGACTTTTTCCTTTTACTTTTAACTCCTGTAAAGGAATCTAAAGGTGAACTGATTCATTGTATGTCTGTCTAATTCTGTCGGATGCCTTTAATCCAAATTTTATCAATCCAATCCAAATTTTACCAATTTGGATACACACGTACATGCACGGCAATATGAACTTTTAGAATAACATAGATAACATCACTGCTTTAGAACGCTCTTCTTTGTAAAGTTGAAATTTAGCGCATTAGAAGTTTTGTTAATATGTCTTAAATTTACCTTAAATACCTTAATACTACTTTAACTCATGTGCATTAACACCCCCTGGTTGACTGGGAGAGAATACCTAAGACATTAAATTCATCAATATACTAGTAGTGCATAAAGATTAAAAATAAATAAATAAACATTTGTTATAAGTAAATATAAATTAGGCAAAGTCTTCACGTTTCAAGACGGTGAAAAGCGTGTACGCCATTCTCAGCACCTGTAAATTAAATCAGTATCAGTTAAGAGTAAATCTTATTACTTACTTTAAGTAATATAAACGTTGTAAATACAGTGTGCAAAATGTTATTGGATGAAAGTAATTTCAGCACACAGATGCAGAACATTGGACTTGAGACAGAGTGCAGTTATACGACAGGTATTTTTAGATCTAAAAGTAAGCCTAAATGAGAATTATTCTAAAAATAAAACTTTCGAGTGAGACCGTTCAATACCGATATTACGTAAAAATATTTTGAGGTAAAACTGTTTTTTATACAAACCTATTAGCTTAAGATAAAGCAAAAGTCATAAAACTCTGGGTATTGTAAGCATATTGCGATAATACTTTAGGGTGAAAGCATAGAGGTAATAAAAATTCCTCATTTGAAATAATATAACTCATTCATTACTAAATAGTAACTAAAAACGAATTACCGCGATATAAGTTTCCAATGACATTGGTATGAGGTAAGCAATCCGGGGGGCTATTGATCGGGAACAACATTGCATCATGATGAGCAGCTGACGACGGAAGCGTGGCGATAACGACAACCAACTGCTGCAGTATATTGACTGATTTATAAACTCGCTCTGATAACAAAATACGAACTTTTATCATTTTCTCATAACAAATTAATATTAAGTACATAAACCTAATTAGGTAATTAAAAATTAAGTTATCTAAAGCTACACGTATAAGTACTTAAATTACCTCAACTTGAAGTGCCGTTCCAAAATAACAATAGATGAATAGTTGGGCTAACATACAACCTAAATATATGGCCATCGAAGCGCACTCTGCGGAAATGAGACTTAACTGCAAAAAAATCACAACTGTTAGTAACATAAACATTGTTTATTGGAACGAAATTCCTTATCGCTCGTTACACGCTCTGAGCGGATAGAAGCGAGACCGAAAAATGTGTAACAAGACTTTTTGCCGACACTTCGGGTATCAAACGTCTACCAAAAAGCGAAAGGAACTTCGTTCCTACCGGGCGTCAATAGACTCCTCTCGCCGTTTTTGAAATATCAATTTTGATACGTACCCCAACTATCTTGTACATTGTCATACAAATCACCCAGGACATGATACAGATTTGAATCACCATTGATTCATCAAATATGGATTGGACTTCGTTAGTAAACCTGACGGTATAGAAAAATGCAAACGTAAATAACAAAAATGCCTTATCTACTGATAATAAAAGTGTGTGCACGTTTTAGAACAGAACAGCTTGGTTTATACGTAGCTCGGGTCTTCGTCAGATTAGGTCCGTTCCTCTTCACAGCACGTAAAAAATTTGGAAATTGATATTGCCTGGGTAAGAAGCATCGTAAAAAATCCATGAGCATTTTAAAAATTTCTTTACAATATTCAAAACTTAGTTTAATATTGGTGCTAATTCTGTTGTTCGAAAATTCTCTAAACTAAACTAAAAATCACTAAAAATGAGTTTAGTCCGTTCGAGTACAACGTTTTTAGAATAAGAAACGTTTCTTGACAGGACTTAACCAATTTTTAGTGATTTTTAGTTTAGTTTAGAGAGTTTTCGAACAACAGAATTAGCACCATTGTCAAGTTAAAAACGTAATACGAGTAAAAGAAAAAGAAATACCGCAATATATGTAGGTAATGAACGACACACTTCTTTAACCGTTCTTGCAGTTCCGTTTTTTCTTTTTGTTCGTCTTTGTATCCGAACTGGGAATTCGTAATTACCATTTTGTTTATTTTAACGTCGTCAAATACCACCAGTTGTTCTAGATTATATCGCAGTATCTGTATTTGTGTCTTGGCTTGCGCGTAGAATGCCACAATTGTGCAATCCATTGTGACATTTCCATAAGCTTGGAAAACGATTGATAAGCTCATGTAAATTAATGTGAGTTCAAATCTAAAAAAAAACAAAAATTTTACGGTTTTCCAGCTCTTCTCTAAATTGCTAGTTTCTAAGAAAATTTATAAAATTATTCAGTAAAATATACTAAAAATTAGAATCTGAATTAATTTGTTTGTGTTTTTTTTAGAAAAAGACAACTTCTGCACTGGACTTTACAAACATACATGAAACGGACACAAAGGACATCCAGACTCAGAACAAAAGTTTGTGGATTTGAGTGTTGCCCCGCATAGGATAACATTTTATGTGATCAGCCACAACACTCAGCGCATTAGGAAGCGGCGAAGTGATCGCTTAAACCACTACGCCATCAGTGCAGTGTTACATATGTAGTTTTATCCCCTTTTAATTTATATCTTAAAACTGAACATTCTGCCTTATCGGACTTAAATAGAACAATGAGGCAGGATTTAAAGTTTGTTACAATTTAACACAAAAACGTATCTCATTGCTTCTTTTTGCATTTAGTATCGCTGACTAACTTACTGGTTAACTTACATTCTATTCAACGTACTATTTCTGTCGTTTTACCTACACAGATTATATAATTTGTAATTAGACAGATTTATATGAAACATTGTCCACACAACACAACATTGTCCGTGTAGTGACGGATTAAGAATACGGAATGTCACTACCCCAATTCATCCCGAGGGTGTCGTAAGAGCCGAATAAGGGCGCAAAACAAAGCAGGACACCAGCACTGAAAAAGACGGAAAACTTGACACAAACCCTATACCAACCCGTCTGGCCAGTGTGGTATAGTAGGCCAAAACCTTCTTTCTAAGGAGAGGCCTATGTCGCGCCGGGGGCTATTAAAGGCTGTTGATGTGTGTGTGATATGAAACATTAAAAACTCGAAGCTTTATTAATATTTTATGTGGCATGTATTTCTGAGAGAGTTTTAAAGGAATATCCGTGTGTTGCCGGATTAAGAATATGGAATGTCACCACCCCTATTCATCCCATGGGTGTTGCAAGAGCCGACTAAGCGAGCAAACTACGTAGGACAACATTACTGCAAAGAGAAGAAAAACTTGAAACAAACCGTATACCAACCCGTCTGGCCAACGTGGTACAGTAGATCAAAACCTTTTTCTAAGGAGAGGCCTATGTCCAGTAGTGGACTATTAAAGGCTGTTGATGCGTTCATGTTTATTTATTTAATATTTAATATCTATTTATTTAACTAAAACGTATTTCAACTTACCGCGGTGTCTCCGTAGCATCAAAGGGAATGTATCCAGTAAACTGTACATCTTCACCCAGAGCCCTATTCACAAGGGGGAATAGAGCCCACATAAAGCCACAAATCACTACAGCCATGTGATACAATTTCAGAAGACCGGCCATCGTCACGGCGTTAGCTTTTAAAGTTTTTACATGGTACGGCTTGCTTGCTATAAAGTAGGATCCTGAGGAAAAAGACACCGTAAATTGCAATCTAATTCTTTCTAAAAATACCAATATATCGACTGACATAGTACCGTGTCTGAGACGCGTAGGCGTTTAACTTTTCACGGACGGCAAAATGACTCACACAATTGATGACACTCCAAGATTTATGATGTGGTAATAGCTTAAATAGATAATATTTATGAGGACATGGAGCGTTTGTAAAGGAAGTGTTTATTTGTTAATTTTTATTTAATTACAAATCGTGTAAACGTCTTACCTCTTCGATTATTAATTTATCAGAAAATACAGCAGAAATTGAAAAAATTTTTGTTTTTTTTTTTTTTTTTTTTTTTTTTTTTTTTTTTTTTTTTTTTTTTGTTAACGTGAATAGTAGAGGTTGAGCCAGGTCAGGGGTGCTGGCTAGAAAACCTCCCCGTGGTGCACCCTGGAAACGCTGGCGATGGTACTGTTTCCTCCTTGTCCTCTTGGAGGAGAGGATTATCGCCAGCGGCCAATATTCTAGCAGAAGAGGCAGCCGTTCATCGGCTCTCGGGCAAGGCCTGGTCCAGCAGGGTGGGCGTGTCTGCCGGTTGCCCTGCTGGCTCTTCGCTCTTCGGAGCATGGAGGAGGAAACCTCGGTAAAAAACCTGATGGCGGGGCCCTGTAGGGGCCACAGTTTCTCCGCTGACAGCGGTGGAGAAAGGAGGACGGGCTCGGCGTGTACTCACACTACCACCGAGCAGGCAGGGGGACGTAGTCTCCTTGTCAACCGTCGGCATATCGTAATCCCGAGAAGAGCGCTGTGGTTAAGTCTCGCGGCTCTGATCGGGGGCGAGGGTCTTGGCTTAACCGCCCGGACCGCGAGGAAGATAACCTCTCTAAAAAATTCCCCGAATCCCGTGTTCTGGTGCGTGGCCAGGGGATGCATGGCTGATGGGAAGTTCAGTCGCGAGCGCACTCCAAGCCGAGGTACCTGCGGACCCCTCGGTTGGGTTAAAAATTTACGCTTGCCCGGGTAATGGGGGATCTCTGCCCGGGTGGACCTTTAGTTCTCCCCCACTCGTGGGATTTATTATGGAGCATATCACCAAAAATCTAAAGAAACGGCAACCAACAAACAAACAGAAACAGGCAAGCAAAACGGACTCTGAAATAAAAGAGAAAAGGAACAGTGGAGTGGATGGTTCATCCACGGAGGGTGAGATAGCGTCGGGAACGCCTATCTCGGTGGGGCTCCCAGAAGTCAGTCTGACGCTGGTCTCTGGGAGCCGAAGAGCATCGGATCGGCTGCGTTCCGGATCCGCCGCTTCATCGGATGGCGCGGAGGCCATGGAAGCGGAGCGGAGCGACAGCCGGAAACGCGGACGCTCAGGGGACGTGGAAACCGACACGTCCGGCGAAATGATGCCACCAAAGGTGGCAAGCAGCCGCCGAGGGAGGGCGCGCAAACCGGCCTCGGCCCCGGTCTTAACCCCGTCAGGCTCCGCGTTCTCAAACGCGGAGTCCTACAGAAGTGTACGGGTGGACGGCGAGGCCGTAGCGGAGGAGGAGATCGCGGATCTCCTGCTCAAGGTTCGGGAGCCGGTGGGGGGAAATGCCCCCCAGGCTCCCGTGTCCGTGCAGGAGAGGGCGAAAGCGGCGGTGGCCGTCATCGACAAGGTGGCCACCAAATCCGTGAACCTTAAGGGCTCGTTTGTGAGGGCCCTTAAGGACTCCTCCTCCGCTTTGTCGGAGGTCGTGGAGGGCCTAGCGGGCGACGTCTCTCGCCTGCAGGTGGCCAACGAGAGGCTGACGGAGCGGGTGAACGAGCTGAGCGCTCAGTTCGCCCGCTTCCAGGCGAACCTCCCCGAGCGGGAAGCCCCGTCCGCGTCCCAGCCTGCCCCTACCACCAACTCAGGGGCATTTGACTCCCAACTGCGAGAAATCCTCATCGCAGTTGGGAATATGCTGGACGGACGCCTGGCTGGCCTGGAGGCGAGACTGCCCCCTGCGCCGATTATGCGCCCCCCGCTCGCGTCTGCACAGCGGCCTAAGGCCGCCGCTCCGACTGCGCTCCCCGTTGTGGGAGGCGGCGGCGTCTGCCCCTACTCCATCGGCTCCACAAAAGCCGAGGAGGGGGGCCAAGGCACCGGCCCAGGCGCCGGCCAAGGCACCGGCTAAGGCGCCGGCCAAGGCACATCTCCAGGCGCCGGCCAAGACGGGGCCTAAAACAGCGCCGAGGAGCGGAGTGGCATTCCCTCCGCTCCCCACTCCGACACCCCTGCCTGGCCCCTCCGCACCTGCCCCCTCCAACGAGGGTTGGCAGGAGGCGAGGGGCTCCAAGAAGTCCCGAAGGCGGGCCAAAAAGGCTGCCAAAAAAGCAGCCCAGGCCCAGCCTTCGCCACCGGTGGCAACGGCCTCCACAAAGAGGCCGCGGAAGCTGCAGCCGCCCAAAACCGCGGCTGTAGTGGTGACCGTTTCCCCGGAGGCGGCGGACGGCGGGCTGTCCTACGCGGCCGTGTTTAAAAAGGCCCGGGACAGCCTCGCTAACGACTTTGGAACGGTGGGGGTCAGGATGCGCCTCGCCCAGACGGGAGCTCGAGTCCTCGAGTTCCCTGGGGCTGAAGGCGCAAAGACGGCGGACTCCTTCGCCGAGAGGCTGCGGGGAATATTTGCGGCCACTGATGGTGTCAGGGTCGCCAGGCCTACCAAGTGCGCGGAACTGCGCATCTCGGGCCTGGACGACTCAGTGACGGCCGAAGATGTCCGCGCTGTAATCCGGGAGAAGACGGGGTGCAGCGCGGACAACGTCAGGGTCGGCACCATCCGCCCCCGGTCCAGGAGGGCTTGGCGCCGTGTGGGTCAGCTGTCCCGTAGCGTCGGCCAAAGTATTGGCCGACGCCGGCAGGCTGCTCATCGGTTTCGTGAGCGCCAGGATCACAGTCCTGGCGGCGAGACCGATGAGGTGTTTTAAATGCCTGGCCACGGGACACACGCGCGTCAAGTGCGACAGTTGTTTTGACTGCGGCGGACTGTGTTTCCGCTGCGGTCAACCGGGGCATAAGGCGGCAGAATGCTCTGCCGCCCCTCACTGCCCAGTGTGTGCGGCGGGCAATAAGCCCGCCAATCACCAGATGGGGCCCCAAAAGGGGGGCCCCCCCCCCGGAAGGGGGGGAAAGGGCCCCGGGGGGGGCGGGGGGAAAAAAGGGGGGGCCCCGGGGGGGCCCCAAAAAAAAGGGGGGGGGTTTAAAAGGGAGGGGGGGAAAAAACCCCCCCCCCCCCCTCCCCCCCAAAGGGGGCCCGGGGGCCCCCGTCCCCCCCGGGGGTTTTTAGGGGGGGGGGTTTTGGGGGGGTTTGGGGGCCGGGGGTTTTAAAAGGGCCAGGGGAACCCCCCCCCCCCTTTTTAAAAGGCCCCCCTTTTCCCCTTTTTGGGGGCCGCAAAAGGGGGGGAAAAAGGGGGGCCCCCCCCCAAGGGGGGCCCCCCAAAACCCCCACCCCCCGGGGCCAGGGGGGGCCCCCGGGGGGGCCCGGGGGGCCCCCCCAAAAAAAACCCCCCCGGGGGCCCCCCCCCCCCCGGGGGGGGGGGCCCCCCAATTTTGGGGGGAAACCCGGCCCAAATGTTTTTTGGGGGCCCCGGGGGCCCCCCCCCGGGGGGGGGGGTTTTTTTGGGGGTTTGGGGCCCCCCCCCCCGGGGGCCCCCCCGGGTTAAGGGGCCCCCCCCCTTTTCCCCCCCCCCCCGGGGTTGGGGAAAGGAAAAGGCCCCCCCCCGGGGGGGGGGCCCTTGGGGCCCCCCCCCCCCGGGGGGCCCCGGGGTTTTTCCCAAAAAACCCCCCCCAAAAACCGGGGGGCCCCCGGGGGGGTTTTAAAAAATTTCCGGGTTAAAAACCCCCCCCGGGGCCCCAAAAAAAAAAGGGGGGGGGGGGGCCCCCCTTTTTTCCCCCAAAAAAAAAACCCCCCCGGGGGGGGAACCCCCGGGCCCCCTGCCCCCCCCCAAAAGGGGGGGGGGGGGGGGGCCCCCGGGGGGCCCCTTAAAAACCGGGGGGGGCCCCCCCCCCGGGGCCCCTTTTTCCCCCCCCCCCGGGGGGGGGTTTTGGGGGCCCGGGGGTTTTTGGGGGGGTTTTTAATCCCCCCCCTTTGGGTTTTAAAAAATTTTTCCCCCCCGCCCCCGTTTCCCCTTTCCCGGGGGGCCCCCCTTGAGGGGGGCCCCGGGGGGGTTCCCCCCGGGGCCCCCCCGGGGGGGGCCCCAACCCCCGGGGCCCCCCCAAGGGGGGGGGGGAACCCGGGGAAAAACCCCCCCCGGGGGAAAAAAAGGGCCCCCCCCCCGGGGGGGGGGGGGGAAAAAAAAAAAAGGGGGCCCCCTTTTTTCCCCCCCCCCCCCCCGGGGGGGGGGCCCCCCCGGGGGGGGTTCCCCCCCCCAAAGGGTTTAAGGGGTTTTTCCCCCCCCCAAGGGGGGTTTAGGGGGGGGACTTCCGAGGTTTTTTTCCTGGAAAAGGGCAGGTTGGAGGAAAACCCCCTTTGGGCCCCCCCGTTTTAACGGGGCCGCCCCTTAGCCCTCTGGGCACGTCCCTTTTGTGCTGGGGGACTTCAACGCAAATCCATTGCGTGGGGTTCCCCCAGGACGGACGCCAGGGGCCCCGGAGCCGTTAAGAGGAGTGGGCGGCCTCGGGGGCCTCTGTCTTTCTAAAGAGGCTCCACCAACAGGGTGCTGCGACAGCAGGGGGGGCGAAGGACCTCTCTTTCGCTACCCCTGCCCTCCCCCGCAGAGAAAGGAAACTGGCGTGTCCGGAAGAGGTTGAACGCTCTCGGATCACCTGTATACCATTTAGCTCCCCCCGGACCCAGGACTCCATAGGGGCCCACGTGGGCGGCGTTTATCCCGCTTTGGGGTGGGCTTTCCCCAGGTGAACCCGGGACCTACTAGGGGAGGCACCATAATTCACTGTGGCTGTTCCTCAGGCTCCCCCGACCGAGGAGGTCGAGGGGGGGCTGGCCGCTTTTGCGATGCGATTACCATGTATGCGATGCGGCCATCCCCCGCGTTCGGGGTCTCGGCCTCCAAGGAAGGAGGTCTACTGGTGGTCCAGGACTGGCGGACCTCCGTGCGGCCTGTACACGGGGCCCCGGGGGTCCTCCGCGCAGTCGGCGGCGTCACCGTGGAACGGGAGGAGGAACCCCTCATGGGAGTACCCACGGGCGCGGAAAACTCTGAAGCTGGCCTTAGCCCGCCAAAGAAAAAAAAAGACAGGAATGCTGGAGGCTTAATCGTGACCCCTGGGGTCCCCTTACCGCGCGGTGCGACAAAAGCTCCGCGCGTCGGGCCCCCCCCTTACGGAGACCTCCAGCCCAGCTTCCCGCGGGAGAAGTGGTTTGAGGGCCTTTTCCCACAACGGCGGAACACCCCCCCCCGCGATGGCCTCCCTTTGGGCCCGGAGACGACGGGGAAAAACACGGGGAGGATAATAAAAATTTCCGCCCCCCGGGAATCGGAGGGAGGGGCGGCTGTTCACGGGTCCCCTTCCAAAAACACCGCCCCCTGGGCCGACGGGGTACCGGGGGCCCCAGTGCTGGCCCTGGCCCTCAACCACATGGCAGACCGCCTCGGGGAGGTTTCGACCTAGCTTGGCGTCGGGGACGCTTCCCTGAGTGCTGGAAGAGCAAACGGAAAAGGGGGGCCCCTTTTGCGGCCCATGCCCCCCCGGGGGCGGGGGCCAAAGGGACCGCCCCCCCGGGGAAAAAAAAAAAAAGGGGGGGGGGTTTTTTTTTTCCCCCCCTTTTTTTTAAAAGGGGGGGGCCCCCCCCCCCGGGGGGCCCCCCCCCCCAAAAAAATTTTTTTCCCCCCAAGGGGGCCCCCCCCCCCCGGGGGGAAAAGGGGGGCCCAGGGGGGGTTTTCCGGGCCCCCCCGGGGGGGGGTTTCCCCCCCCAAACCCCCCCTGGGGGGGGGGCCCCCCCCTTTTTGGGGGAAACCCGGGAAAACCCCGGGGGGGTTTTTTTTTTCCCCCCCCCCAAAAAAAAGGGGGGGGGGGCCCGGGGGTTTTTAAGGGGGGGCCCCCCCCCGGGGTCGCCCCCCCCCCCTTTCCCAAAAAGGGGGCCCCCCCCCCCCCTTTTTTTTCCCCCCCGGCCCCCCGGGGGGGGGGCGGGGGGCCCCCCGGGGGCCCCCCGGGCGGGGGGCCCCTTCCCGGGCCTTTGGGGGGGCCCCCCGGGGGGGGAAAAAGGGCGCCCCAAAAAAACCCCAAAACCCCCCTTTCCCGGGGCCCCCCCGGGGCCCCCGGGGGTTTATTTGGGGGGGGCCCCCCGGCCCCCCCAAAAAAGGGGGGGGGCCCCCAAAAAGGGGGCCCCCTTTTTTTTTTCCCCCCGGGGGGGGGGGGGCCCCCCCGGGGGCCCCCGGGGTTTAAAAAGGGGAGACCCCTTCCCACCCGGGGGCCCTAAAGGGGGGGCCCCCCCCCGGGGGAAGGTTTTCCCGGGGGGGGGGGGTTTTTCCCCCCCCGGGGGGGCCCCCAAAAAAGGGGGGGGGGGAACCCGGGCCCCCCCGGGGCCCCCCTTTGGGCCCCCCGGGGGGGCCCCCCCCCGGGAATTGGGCCCGGAAAAGGGGGGCCAACCCGGGGGGGGGGGGGGAAACCCCCCAAAAACCCCCCCCCCAAAAAAATTTTTTTAAAGGGGAAAAAAAAGGGGGGGGGGGCCCCCAAGGGGAAAACCCCGGGGGGCCCCGGGGGGCCCCCAAAGGGTCGGGGGGCCCCCGGGGAAAAGGGGGGGGACCCCCCCTTTGGGGGGGAAAAGGGGGGGCCCCCCGGGGTTTTTTTTTTTTTCCCCCCCCCCCCCTTTGGGGGGCCCCCCCCCGGGGCCCCCCCCGGGGGGCCCGGGGGAAAAAGGCCCCCCGGGGGCCCCCCCGGGGGGGTTTTTTTCCCGGCGGAAACCCCCCCGGGGCCCCTGGGGGGGGGCCCCCGGGGGGGGCGGGCCCCCCCCCGGGCCCTTTTTTTTTCCCCCCAAAACCCCCCAAAGGGGGGGGGCCCCGGGGCCCCCCACCCCCCCCCAAAATCCCCCCCCGGGGGGTTTAACCCGGGGGGGGGGCCCCCCCCTTTATTTTTTTTTTTTTAAAAAACCCCCTTTGGAAAGGGGGGTTTTTTTCGGGCGCTTTACCTTTTTTACGGGTGGCCCCTTTTTTTGCCGGAGGTTTTTTTTTGGGCCCCCTTGGTAGGGGCCCTTTTTTTTTTAATTTTTTCCTAAAAATCCCCCTTCGGGCCCAAAATGAAAAAATTTTGGGCCTACCCTTCAAAGGGGGAGGTGGGGCTCTTCGACGAGCACTTCCGACAGCTTGCTCCAAAGCTGTTAGGCGCTGCGTCTGCCCTAGGGCGACTCTTGCCCAATATGGGTGGACCCAGCGTCGCGACAAGACGGCTGTACACGGGGGTTGTCCGGTCAATGGCGCTGTACGGTGCACCGGTGTGGGCGGCGGCTCTGACCGCCCAGAATAGGGTACGCCTCTGGCGCCCTCAGAGGGTAATGGCGGTCAGAGCCATACGCGGTTACCGCACCGTTTCGACGGAGGTGGCATGCGCATTGGCCGGAACTCCCCCGTGGGATTTGGAGGCGGAAGTGCTCGCCGAAGTTTATCGGCGAGTGGCTGACTTCCGGGCGGAGGGCGGATTTCGCCCTCCGCCCGAGGATGTGCGCGAGTGGCGCGAAGCCGCTCGCCGAGCCACGATGGCTCGTTGGTCGTTCCGGCTGGAGACTCCACGCGCTGGCTTCGCCGCCGTGGAGGCTCTCCAGCCGGTCATCGCCGAGTGGGCAGGGCGGCAGCACGGGACCCTTTCCTTCCGACTGACGCAGGTGCTTTCCGGGCACGGTTGCTTCGGAAAGTACCTGCACACGGTCGCTAGGAGGGAACTGAGTCCCGCCTGCCACCACTGCGACTGCAGTGAGGACTCGGCCCAGCACACGCTGGCGGTCTGCCCCGCATGGGCGGCGCAGCGCCGGGCCCTCACTGCAGTCATCGGAGTGGATCTCTCGCTACCGGCCGTAGTACGCTCCATGGCCGGTAGCGACAGTTGTTTTACCGCGGTCGCAACCTTCTGCGAGGTAGTAATCTCGCGGAAGGAGGCGGCGGAGAGGGCCCGGGAGGATGACCTCCACTCGGACCCGATCCGCCGCCGGCGAACCGGGCGGCGGAGGCCCGCCTACCACAGCCTCATGCCGCCCTGAGTGTGGCCGCGGGTGGACGGGGTGGGTTTCCCCTCCACCCGCATTAGTTTGGCCAGCCGCGAGGGGGCGGCGTCCGCGTGTGCCGGACGTCGCCTATAAAGAGAGGAAAAAACACTGAGACGGAGCCCGCACCAGGAGCGGGCTGGCGCTAGGAGGGGTCCGGATGTCTTAACAACAGCTGTTCCCGGATCCCTCCTGTTACAGGCGCAGAGTGGCACACCGTGTGGTTTTAGTCGGTCCGAGTCCGACACACCACCCCGCCGCAAACCCCGGAGGGGTGACGGTCCGAGGGGATTTCCACACGTTAATAAAAAAAAAAAAAAAAAAAAAAAAGGTCAGTAATATAGTTTTTTTAATAGTGAAACTTATCTATCATTAATAGTGGGTAAAACACACACTTATCCTTTCATCCGCTTTATTTCAAACATATTAGTAAGACGGACCCACATTCACTTTGCCATATGCGTGCGATCAGTAATCGATAACAAACAACGAAATAATTCCCCTTTTAACTTGAAAAAATGACGCTTACTGCAATTAAGTGGATAAATAAGATTCATATGTATACATATATGCATTTCTAACCGTTAATATCATTGATAATATTATCTATACGATGGCTTCTCAGATTAAAAGCAGCTTCCTTTCCTAGGGTATTTAGAGTAGTAAGCAAAATGAACAGAGTATCAACAATTTGTTCCGTACTGTGGCGGACCTAGGAAACAAAACAAACAACAGTTATTATTATTTAATACACAATAAATAAAATGTATGTGCTGAATGTATGAGCTGTAAGAAAATCTAAACAAACCCCTTCATGATACCATTATCAACAAACGCTAAAGGCTGCGAGTAAGGATAAACTAAAAAAGGCACTTATAGCTTGGAGGTAGACTGTAGCAAAATGCGTCTATGGTGTTGGACTTACGATCCAGTGGTTGAGAGTCTTGAACTCCATAAGCAAATGCTTAAGTTGGAAGAGTGTACTTGGAATACTGGTGTATACTTAAAAAAAAGAGAGTTATTAGGAGAAGTGCTAACTCCTTGAGAGGGCCGCAGTGTTGACCGCACTTCAAGTGTGACATATTTGACACGTTGACAAAATATTATTATATTGCTGTCGATATGGTGCCCCGATATGATTATGTATGGCTACTCACCAGTATAACTCGTATAAGATGCTGAACATTATACAATATGACAAAACTAAATGAGAGCAACCGATATGCATTATGTAGAGACTGTTTTAAACGGGACAATGGTTTCGGCACGATTTTAAAATAGCCTACTCTAGCCAATGCGTCAAAATGAGGTCTCAATCCGTCAAATGTTGCATAATTTGTAGTTTCCTCCTGCATTTTGCCAACAGTAGGAATATATTGTCACACTTTGTATTATAACTACTGTTAACAGGAGTGTTTGCTTTAAATACGTGTTGATTGTTAGTAATGGAGCGTCCAATCGCTATGAATGATTTATTTCATTCTATAGGATGTTTTATTTCACATGTTGTAGCAACACAATTAATGCTTTTTTAAGCAGATGCTTACTATAAAAATTAAGTAATGTAGTTTAGATAAAAAAGAAACCGCAAACCAATTCGTTGTGATTGCTACCCGACATTACTCGGCACTAAAGATTTTAAAACCTTTTGTGTTGCGGAATTCTGGAGTGAATTCCTTAGTTAATAAAACCGGTATTACCAATAAACATTTCATACGTGTGTCTGGTTTAAATTGAAATAAATGTAACTAACAAAATATTAGGTCCTAACATATGAAATTAGGGTTTTAAATGTAAAAAGTAACAACAACAAACAAAACTGCTATTAATTACATTTATGATAAAACTGATAATACCGTTCTTAAGCATATTTTAACAAGACCTATTTCTGAGCGGTCCATGAATTCACGATTCATGCGACTTCGACAGCGCCTGGGAATGGAAATAATACTGGTAATTTAAATCCGTAAAATTATTATATCTCGTGTTCGTTTCAATACTGGCGTAAGAAACTTACTATCTGTAAGTTCATATAAGTACCTATGAAATCTAACCATCTATACAAATAAATAAAATTGAAGTGTCTGTTTGTAATGTCAAAATAATGTTTTTTTTCATGCTCACTTGGCTATTTGCGCGATACCTATGGCTAAAAACAAGTTTAAATATTTTTTTCTGTCTGTCTGTTTGTTCCGGGTAATCTTCAAAACGGCTGGACCGATTTTGATAATATTTTACTACCACTACATTTACTACATTTTTACTACCAGGCAGCTGTCTATATAAGGAGTAACTTAGGCTATTTTTCTCTCAGAAAACCCCTATAAAATTTTGCCCGGTCCGGAATCGGAACCCTAAGGCAGCGCTTTTCAAATTCCACGCGAACGAAGTCGCGGGCACCAGCTAGTAACAAATAAAAAAATGAAGCCATCAGCGTTTAACTTGCATTAATAAAAAAGCGAGATAGAAAAGTGTACCTACTCATACTTATTAAGTCAAAGTTGCCGGGAAAACGCTCAGTGTTTAACAAAACTCATTCCGTGAATATATCTGCAACAATCATCCTATGTTAATACTCTGTGTTGTATTAATATTGTACGTCTCAAGTAGCCCGTTAATTTTTGCGACACTTCCAAGGGAGCTAATGATGTAGTAATTGAGAGCCAATCAAGGCCTCGCATCTAATAAGCACTTTCGACACTCCCCGATTTGTACAAATTAGAGGTTTGGAAAATAAATACGTTTACAAAGCAATTAAGATAAATACGTGGTAGATTTAAGGTACGTACTTATTCATAAATAAAATATAACTTATTTTGTACCATTAAGCAAAAGTTGAAGTTGAACTTATTTTGTAAAAAAAACACAGCAAACAAAAAAAGCGAAGAATACATTGTAATATGATTAATTAGTTATATTATCTTTTTTCAGGCCTACTACTATTGATCTTAGTTAAGTTATCTGTGGTCATATAATGACGTGGCGTAGACATGGTGATATGTACTATTATTTTTTCGATTTTAAGTAGGTACGCATACCCATTATATTTTTTTCTAATTGACCCTAACAACTTAAATAAAAAATATTATTGTTATCGGATAACGATACGACTTGAAGTCAAACTTTTGTGAAAACATTTGTATGTAGACTGTTCAGGACATTTCGTAACATAATTTTTATTTAGTAAACGATGTTCATGTTCAAATGATCATCAAAATCATAGTTTTATTTAATGTTTATTATTCAAAGAACGTTATTTATTAAACTTTGTACAGTCAGGGTATACAGGTTTTTGTTCCTGTACGCCAAGTAGTAAATAAAATATAGCTATTGCTCCTCCTCAACAGTGTTTTATAACGGAAATCTTTCATTAACTTTACTACTCTCTCTACTGTATCATTAAAGGATCTCAGGGTCATTACCTGTTTCTTAACTTGTTGAAACGTAGTATTATTAGACCATGAAGTACGACAGGACTCTTTGGATTAATTTCATCAATTTGGAAATTATTGAACAAGGACTTGCTTTTTATAAAAGCGAAGTCATCGATGACTTGTAAAGTGAACCAGAAAGATCTTCTTTGGAGGGGATTCGTCTTAGCGTATATTATGTAGTTTCCCTTGAAAACTTATAAACTATTTTTATTTCTCGGTCTAATTTTTTTACAAATCGATCTTTTTCCGCCTCCGTCCACTAGGATCCCCTGCTGAAATCCCCTGGGGGATTTATTTGGATTTTTTGTAAACAGCGACCCTCCAGGGGATTTATTTGGATTTTTTATCTCAAGGGGATTACTTTAAAAGTTCTTGTTAACACAAATTCCCTAAAAGTTCACAATTTAAATTCGAAATAAAATAAATGGCTTAACGGAGTTTTCAAGTAATTAGTATTGTTTACATTTTACGATACAATTTTTTCGAAGTTATTATGCTGCGTATTGATTATTCTATGAAATGACTAGCTGGCCCGGCAAACGTTGTTTTGCCATATACATTATTTCAATATTTTTTTGTAAAAAATAATAATTAGGGATATGAAAAATAGATGTTGGCCGATTCTCAGACCTACTACTACTTGAAAATGTTATCGCTGTGGACAAAAAGTCCAAATAATTCCCCTAAGGGATTTAGCAGGGGATCCTAGTGAACCCAAGCGTTTCTCCGTACGAATTCTTTGAATAGAGGATTTGTTTATGGGAAATTTGTAGTGAGAAGTGTACCTAAGTGCCTCAATAGGCTACTACTGACACAATAACAAGCACAGTCTGTCTTTATACTTAACTGACACATATCTAAATCTGCTACCAACTTTGGAGTGTTAAAAAACTTTCTCATTTGAGTGTTATTGGTATATAGTCCAGTCAATGAAAGCTTAACTTTGCCATTTTGAGTTGATGACCTGCAACCAACGCTAAAATTTCCGTAAGGGTTCATAGATTAATATACTAATATTGCAGGGTGCTGCATTGACGGCAAATTGTGCAAAAAAATTGCAAAATGGTGCAATAACGACTTTTTCGTCAATATCTCGTGACTGGCTGGGAAAATAGAAAAAAATCCTGGGATTTAATTAATATGTTTCGGGATTTTTTTTTATTCATTTGTTCCTTTTTTCATAAAATATTCTTAGTCTTTCATAAGTCTTCACTGCAACTATTTCATTACTGTACCCATCAAAAACTACTGTGGCGGCTGGAAAATGTTATCTAATGTATGAAAAATATTTTTGACAGATAACTCGGCAACTATCTTTATTATTCCAGTGAACTTGATGTAGTAGACAACCTCCATCAATAACGTAATATGCATTATGTAGAAATACTGCTGATTGAATGAATGGCGTAAATATTTTATATAAATCAGCTTTATTACTTTTCCTCGTGTACCCATTTTTATCAAACAAGGACATAGGAAACGGTGCTAATTCGTACTCCAATGCAGTACGTAGAACATCAACATTATCTTTGACAACTACCGCAATTCTTTAAAACAATACTGATGAGTCAACTGCAGTGAAATTAGTATGATTGATCATTCCTTTTTTAGCAGCAGCTAATGTTTTCACTTTATAGAGTTTTGAAAGCGACACCCCGTCAACTGTTTTCCCTAACATCGACTTTATCCCTTCTTCCCCTTTCTCAAACGCATTATGACATTTTATATCAAAACCTCCAATAACTCCAGTTGATAATGAAATCAAGTGATCACGTCATAAACTTTTTAAATCAGCATCATCACAATCTATTCGACTTGATGTGAGGTCTACATGTTGTTCACTTGTCAAGTTCGTAATATTACAATATTGTTCTAAACTACTCATGATACTAAAAGCAGCAGGCATACTTGACAAATATCGAGTCACAACACTAGGTGTGACACCTCTTCCATCCTTTAAATCATTCCCGAAATAACGATTTAAAGTTTGTTCGATTGTCATATCTGACCATACACCAGACCACGCTTTTTGTGATCGACGAATAGTGAAGAGGCCAATTTTTGGTATATTCATCATATTCCTTATCGTCCATTATAAGCTCCAATTGTGACATATCTTGCAAATACGACTGTGGAATATGGAGGAGCAGACTCCCCCAATGTTTCCTCTAAGTCGCTGTGTATGTCTTTGGTAGACATTTTTTTCAGGCAGAGGTACTTGATGACAGCTCTTATTTCATTTTTCTCCATTTTGATGTTTTCTCTTCGACAGTTCGTATTCAAATGAATGTATCTCCCGGTAATGGTGTCCTATTTATACATTTTTTTGAAGCTGAAGTAGTGGATATATAAGCAAGCAGAAAAAAAATAATTTGGGTTTTTGTGCGTTCTAGAAATACTCGATTATCATTACTTATTGATCTAGGTAACATTTTTTTAATACTCTGTAAATGCAATTTCCAATCTTTCGGCTTCAATGAATTGCAGTGTAATTCAATTAATGTATAATTCATGTAATTTAGCTGTAGGACCATTATTTTCAAGATGTGACACCTTCTCTGTGAAAAGATCAGTTAATTTCTGTATATTATTATCAGATTCACAATCTTCTATAAATGGAGATCTGTCAGGCCACTCAACCAAGAAGTCTTCAATAACTTTTCTAAATTGTTTATACTCATTAATATTTTTACATATAATAACTCCAATAGCAGTGAATGAAATTATATGAGCTCTGATTACTTTAGAGAAAGCATGCCCACTAAGCATTTTTGTAAGAAACAGACCACATTTGTTCTAGCCCAATTTCAGCCATGATTGATCCAATAGAACCTAAATATGACTTTAAGAGATGGAAACCACCTAGACGTACTATTACATTTTCGTATGTTGATTGTCCTTGATGTAATTGAGCCACAATA